ATGATATCATCTCTCCCGACGTACCCATCCTTCCCAGCGTTCCCTCGTCGAATACGGAGTTCCTCTTCAAGACGGATGGGGACGGAGAAGGACATGTTACCGCCTGCGCTAAACCCTGAGAAGGCGATTCTCTTCACGTCGATGAGGAACTCTGATGCGTGGTCGATTAGGTAGAGGGCAGCGTCTACGCCGTCTTCGATGGCTGTGGGGAAAGGGTATTCGGGAGCGAGACGGTATTCGACGGAGACGACGATGGCGGATGTGTATTCGAGGACGGAACGAGCCCAGCGGGCGTCGTCTGTCGCACGGCCGATGGTGAAGCCGCCGCCGTGGAAGTTGAGGAGGACTGGGTAGGAGGTCTGGGAGGGTTTCTCGGTTAGAGTTGATAGATTGGATGTGTTGGATGTGGTAGATGTGCCGGAGAGAGTGGAAGACCCAGATATTGATGATGCGATCGAGCTAATCGTGCTCTTTGTCGACGTTCTCGTGATTGGACTACCAAACTCTTCCTCGTGATCGTCATCGTCGTTCCCTTCCTCCTTCTCTTCGCCATTCTTCTTCTTCCGGTGTCGTCTGCCGTGCTTCTTCTTCGTCCCATGTGCATACTTCCCAGTGTAGCCCTCCGGGAAGTAGAAATGCAAATCGATCTCTCCTTTACAGCTCGACAACGTCGTCGGTATCTTGATCGTCTTATCCGGTGCAGGCGCAGGTGGACGTGCCAGAACGTGCATACGCATTCCAATATCCATCAAGTTTCTCCACATCTGCGCTTCCATTGTGAGAGCCCATCGTGGTCGAGGCATCGTAGAGGGAGATCAAAAGCTGTTGAACTGAAAGGGGAGAGGCAAGTCAAAGTCGTATGATGGTGTTTTATTACGCCTCCAAACCCAAATGACGTCAAAACTTACTCTCTTTCTGCTTCCAGGTACCAAGACGACAGCATGGTATTCTTGGAATCAGCGGCTAGATCGACATGTATACATAATTCACGCAGTCCCCAGACAGCCAAGAAAGGGTAGTCTGGTTCCTACGATCGGGAGGAGCTGTGAAACCCTCGTCTATCATTGGAACTCTGGCAATTTTTTTTGGCGCGGCCCGCAGTACCGCGCGTAAGTCACAGATCACGATCAGTCACGAGCTCATGACTGACAGTCACGCTTCTTCTCAAACCGGAACCTCCACCACTGATCGATCCCAGATGCTCGATAACAGTGTCAACGCTCAGTGTACATTCACATCGTTTTTGAATGCTTTCTTTCTCCTGCGCTCTCTCTCTCCTTGTTGGCGTTCGAGCCGTATCTTACCCATCCAGCACGGCTTGGGTCCCAACTGCAGCCCTTAATATTTTGCCCTTCCAAAGGTGCTCTGCCCGTCGATGTAACCTCTATCCTGGCACTTAACAGCTCAAGCTATACCCTTGAGGCTTGTTACGTATCACTTTGGTCGAAATCGGATGGACGGTTGAACTACCTACCCTGGGGGGAAGGGGAAATGGAAAGTTGAAACGTGAAGGTGAACGCCTGGGCTTTTTTACTCTTCTCCTACGCCCCTGCCAGATTGCAAGTTGGCTGGGAGATCTTGGCCTTACACAGCGGGCATCGTCGGCTGTCTCCAAGAACGTTCCTGCTCACCGCTGTCATCGTTATTTCCGGTTTCATCACCCTTTCCTATATCAGTGTCACATTTGAAGCTTCATAACGGTCAAGACTCTTCATGTGTTGCAACACGAGAGATTGGTCTCTTACTCACTCGAGTCCGATTCGGGGAAAGGCTTGCTCTACTTTTATCACCACGGAACTGTATATATTCACCACTGACACCCCGCAAGGTAAGTAGATCGTACCAGTTTTTTGTGGTACGATCGTTGATACAATTGAATTCTGCATGGGTTTGTACCTTGTATCCACTAGTAAGTCCACATTCTCTTATTTCTCTGGGTAGAGTTATCAAATGGAACACATATATTCACTCGAGCCTCACCCTCAGGAACTCCCGACTTCCGACTTCTCTTGCTATATACATACATACTACTATAGCGAGGAACGATCCGAATTTCGAACACCTCAAGCGATGGCAGTGGAATTGAATCTCTCTCGTTTGTTTTTTTAGAATTACGGGGCCCCGGTACGAGACCGGAGAAACTCTTGACTCCCTAAGCCAAGGTCACAAAAACCTTACCGCCCACTCTACTTATCGCTACGACCCTGCAGATATGAAACCTCATTGGTTTTCGGCAGTTGATCAATGATACACGCACGTATATATAAAAAACGTATTTTGCATGGAACCATCTTTCTAATCCCCCTCCGTCCCAGGTTGACTATGACCTTCTTCGATCTGGGTCCAGTAACTTACTTCATCTACCTCCCACTCGCGGGTGTAGCAACAGTCCTTACCCTTCTAGTTCTCCGAGCCAAACGACGCTCTCTTTCGTTCCTTCAAGGTCCTCCCAATCCCTCCTATTTCCTCGGTGAGTTTCCAAAAAACCCAAATCATAACATGACGCTGACGACCACTTAGGAAACGAGAATGAAATCCAAAACCAAATGACCGTCGGTCAACTCACCTTTAAATGGTTCGACACCCACGGAACCGCTTTCCGCGCAAAGACGTGCTGGGATGTACGTCCTCCCCCCCTTCTCTCCTCCCCCTCCCTTCTCCCTTCTCCCCCCCCACTCACTACCTTGCACCCAAACTGAAAACAGGAAGACATGCTCATAACCTGCGACCCCCGAGCCCTCCAATACATCTTCCAAGGCAGCCAATACCGATTCCGCAAAGCGATCGACACGACCCAAGCCACGATGAATCTCTTTGGGGAAGGCCTCGTCGCGGTTGAGGGTTCTCAACATCAGAGACAGAGGAAGATTATGACTCCGGCGTTTTCGGCTACGCAGACGAGGCAGCTTGGACCGTTCTTTTTGAGGGCTGCGAGAGATGTACGTCCTTGTTTGATGTGGGGATGGGGGTTGAGAGAGGGGTATTGACGTTGGTTTTTTTTTTTGAACTTGGAATTTGAAGCTGGCGAAACGGTGGAAAGACCATCTGAAGTCTGGAGAATCGGATGTGATTGATACGACTAAATGGTTCCCGAATATGACGCTTGATGTTTTGGGCGAAAGTCAGTGGTGGTTCTTATTTTTTTTTCGCGTTCACATGTTTCCCAAATCCCACAATCTTACCGACCTCTGTATACATAGGTGTCTTTGACTACGACTTTGGAGCCCTCGACAAGAAAAACTCGGAATTGGCAACTATGGTTCGAGATCTCTTGTACGTTGCGTTTGCTCCCTTTTTCTCCTTCCTTCTCGTCTAACCTTCCACCACCACCCCCAAAGTATCGACACCAAACGCCCCACACCCTTGTTCACGCTCTACCGAAACTTGCGTCGCTCAGTCCCCGACTTTGTAGCCTCCTTCCTGATGAATTTCCCTCTCTTTCAAACGAAGGAAGACGTCCGATGGGCGAAATGGCTTTCAACCTCGAATGCTGTTGCGAAGAAGTTGTTTGAGAATAAGATGAAGAGTAAGACGTATGAGGAGAATGATATTTTGGGTGTTTTGGGTGAGTGTTCAGAAGCGTGGGAGAAGATCGGGATGAAGGGTTGCTGACGACGTTTTTTTGTGCTGCTGTAGCTCGTTCGACGAACGCAAAGGATAAAGCTCTCTCGATGTCTTCGAATGAGGCTATGAATCAGTTGGCGTATGTGTTGATTTTGGACGACTCACGAGCGACAGCTGACTTTTGACTTTGTGGATATAGAACTATCATCTTGGCTGGTCACGAAACTTCCGCCTCTTCGTGAGTCCTTCTCAATATGTGTCCTGTTCCTCTGACGAACGGTTCCCGCCCCTCCCCCCTCGATGAAAGGTTGAGTTGGCTCTTTTACGAACTCAGCCAACGTCCCGAACACCAAGAACGCATCCTCCAAGAGATTAAATCCGTTCGAGAACGCAACTCCAACGAAGGCGACCTAAGCTCCTCCGAATTGGACTCGATGCCGTTCTTCAATGCTTGTATCAAGGTCCATATCCCCCCCCCTTAGCCCATTTCCTCCCCCACCCCACTAATTTGAACGTACTTCGTACTAGGAATCCCTCCGCCTTCACCCAATCGTCTTCCAAGGTTTCAGACAAAGCGAAGCCGAAGATGTCATCCCACTGGCTTACCCCGTAACTGGGACTTCGGGAACGTTGATTAACGAAATACCGATTGCGAAGGGGCAGAGGATTATGATTGATATCGCTGCTTATAATCGGTGAGCCCCCCTTCGAATTCTCATTCTTTCACGCTTTACTGAACCTTACCGTTCCTCGCCAGGTTAAAACAAGTATGGGGTGATGACGCTGAAGAATGGAACCCGGAGAGGTTTTTGGATGTACATAAGCCGACTACGGTTGGTGTGTATGGGAACTTGTGAGTCATTTTCTTCTTTGGTATGAGGGGGGAGAACTAATTTCGTCTTCTTTCCCCATAGAATGACCTTCAGTGAGTGACGAGTTTGTCAGCATTCGGGAGGGAGCCTTCTGATTTTACTCTTACTTCTCTCAGGCGCAGGACACAGAGCCTGTATTGGGTACGTTATCGAAGCTCATGTATTACTTCGCTCGACCTGACAAAAACCCTCTTCGTTTCAATCCAGCTGGCGATTCGCGTACGTTCCACTCTACTCGCCCCACAGCACGAGCACAAGGCTGACTTGATCTCTACAAACTAATAGCGTTCTAGAAATTCAATCCGTCGCTGCAGAGCTCATTGAATCCTTCGAATTCAAATTCCCAAAGGACACCCATGTCGTTGGCTTGCCCGCTGGGTTTAAGCTTCCGTTCGTGGTGGGAGAATGGCATAAGGGACCGCAGATGCCCTTGCATGCCAAGATCCGGGAGGGGAATTAGACAAGTGGTACGATGGTTTTGTTGTGGGGTATCATATCACTAGACTCTCAATTGCTATACATCGTTCAATTGTCGGAAAAAGGATGCAAAAATAGATTACGTAGCTGCCCCAGTGAGGCTCGAACTCACGACCTTCCGATGTCAGCTGGCAGGAGCACATAACAGTCGGACGCTGTAACCAACTCAGCCATGGGGCACATGCCGCTCTCATCCGCTTGTTCATACATACAAATTTGAAAGATCCTTGAAGGTGGATACACTACGACAAGGTGGGGAGTGCTATCTCTGTGTTATACTCGGACTGGTCCTGAAACGCAGCTTGGGGACATCGCGCTACCACCAGTATTGACTAATATACTCGTGAGCTAGATTCAAGGGAGTTTCCCCGCGACGTCGGCCGCCTGTGCTGGAGTAACAAGTGTAAATCCTAGACTTCTCAATTGCCATTCGGCATCAGCAAATCAACGGGCTTTACACGCCGCTTAACTCCGAGGTAGCGGGCCTACCATGATTGGAATCTCGAGTATTGCTAGGGCCTGTAGATGCGATCTGCTGCCTCAAACCGAGGGTATCCACATGGCTCTGCGTATCCTGAAGCGCGTGTCCAAGCCCCGCACGCGCAATGATCAAGGTTGGAGCGATTCCCTGGCCGAGAGATTGATACTCAGCAACAGATCGGACCTCTGAGAAGATACTCACCACGATATGATGCAAACCGAAAGCCACGGCATCGCTCTTGCTCCCGGGAATCACCAGCGAGATAATCATAGCAATTGGATAAATGATCCCAGATTCCACCCTAAGGTACCAGGGCGAAGTCGATGTCAAGATTCTCGCACGGGCTTAGCTTGGAACTCCACTTACACAATCACCACCACGGGCATATACTTTCGATGTACACGACTCACTCCCAAAATACTCCTAGTTTCGCGCATTGTAGAGAAGATTTTCCATGCTTAACAGGGGTGTTTAGCTCTACCTAGTAGGAGATAGTCGAAACACACCAATAAGACATGTAACCGACCAGTTACTTGCTACCATAGTAATGCAGATCGTCACATTATGACTGAACGGGACCCCAGCGCGGAACGAAAATGCCGAAGCGGTGGGAGTCTCTATCTGAGGACCAATAATAAAAATGACTCCGGTGGCTGATATGTGCAATCAGCGATGTAAATAGGCAGGAAGGAAATCCATGATTACCGGTGCAAGCGATACACGATACGATTGGTATAAAGACGACCCTCCAATCACGGTTCCAAATCAAATAGCATCTCCATATCTGTAGCTGTAAGTCGGTATCCGAGAGAATAGGCTGGACATCTCACCAGAATGCCGTCCGCAATACAACTGCGCCATCAGAAAGTTCTTGAATCGAATTATTTCAGTATAGCCAATGGAACACTCACTTGGAGACCAAGAATATGAAGAAAAAAGCCCGTCTGAAAGAGTGATGGTCAGCTCCAATACGATCTACGGATTTCCGATCACTCACATGAGATCAACGACCAACCTGCTGTACTGCGGAGGACCGTTCCCAGAGGTCTTGAGGCTGACGGAGTCCAATCCCCGAAGGACGACAATGGCATCACTTATAAATAATGTGGAGGTTGCCAGCAGAAAGAGAAGAGTCAAAGTGAAGATATGCCAAACATGGTGTTCTGTTCTCTTCCTCTTGAGGATGAAGATACCCGCTCCGTATAACCCGCTCCGTATAACACGCAGTAGATTCCTGGATGGGATATCATGATCAGTCAGGAAACACGACGTGCTCGAGGGATATATTACTACCGTACAGAAACCAGGGCACCTATATGAATAATGTATGAGCAGAAGCTACGGAGAGAGCTCGACATGGCGCACTAGTACGTCTATCAAGGACTCTACGAGGATGGGCCGTAGGATTGCACCCAGTCCAGGCTCGGTAGTCTGCATGATAATTCGATAGGTTGGTAGGGTTTGCGGATGAAAGAAAGCAGCGAAAGATGTTTCCTTCTTATCCTATATCTTGCATATCAAAAGGCGGTCATGACATGCGACAAAGGTGTTCGTCGGGTATAGCGATTAGCACGAATGCCGCAAAACGTTGCTTCCACGTTCCAACCAATTATTTTTGGGTACCGTACTAGCCTTGGTCACTTTCTTGTCAGTGGAAGGCGGGATAGCACATAAGGTGAAAGGTGCGAACGTACCAGACCACTTAGTTTCAAATTCAACTCGTCTAAGTATAAGTTGAAACTGGGCAATAGCTCCTAGGTTTGCTGTCCAATCCTCGCAGGTACGTGAATGTTTCATTGCGGATGAGCATTTCAACATTGACGAGTGGATTTCGGTATATTTTTGGTTCGTGCTGTTGTAGTTGTTATTGTGTCCGATGACGAAGAACTTACCGACCCGCGTCGCGGAGCTACGGATTGAGAAGGCAGCATAGTATTGAAAGGTGGTTTGTTGTCAAGATGCTACATCGAGGGCTTTTTTTCTATCACTCGCTCAACCGAGCGCCCACCGATATTGACTTCACACGCCATTTCCTTCCGAGGTAGCCCCAGCGTGATTGTAATCTCGAGAATTGCTAGCAACACGTCTGAATGCCATCTGCTGTCTCAGGCGGATCGTATCCACATAGCTTCGCGTGTCCCGGAGGGCGTTTTCAAACCCCACACGTACAATGACCAAGGTAGGGGCAATACCCGGTGAAATTCGGATGTATTAATTCTTCAGAAACATCGTTTGAGTGGACGGAAGTACTCACTACAACGTGATGCAACGGGAATGCCACGGCGTCGCTCTTGTTCCCTGGAATCGCCAACCATACAATGATAGCAATCGGGTACGTAATCCTAGATTCCATACTGAGCACCATTGAAAATGTACGTATAAAGTCTGCGCACATGGTAGCGGCGATAGAGGTATATTTTCGGTGAACACGGTTTCCCAAAGCATTGCTGGTTTCGCGCATGATGGAGAAGATCTTCCATGCTAGTTGTGACTGTTAGCTCATTACTACGTAGTGTAAACAGCTACGTTGGTTCCCAACGGGGCGCCGGAGCGGAACGAATATGGAGAAGAGGTAGAAGTTTCCTTCTGAGGACCAACGACCAGAACAATCCCGATAGCTGTACCTTTCAATCAGTAAAGTGAACACCTAGGAAGAAGGCATCTACCTATGCAGACTAAACACAATACGACTGGCACGAAGATGATTCTCCAGTCGAGGTTCCATATCAGGTACCACCGAGAGATATATGGAAGTTTCATTTATCCCAATTCGACTGATAAGCCCGGTTGGAAGAGAATCCACTAAAATGACGCCGGCGACACAACCTCACGTTTGAAAGTGAGCGCTTGAATATTCAGGTTGGGGGCAGTCTTGGTCTTGTTCTTACTTTAAAACCAGGAAAATAGTAAAGCAAACCCGTCTGTAATCATATTAGTGTCAGTCTGAATGGAGTTTGTAGACCCGTGAGTAACGAGTTTCTCACATGAGCACAACAATCCCTTTCACGGTGCTCCATTGGATAACCATCTCCGGAGGCTTGGAGGTGGAAGAAGTCCAGTCCTCAAAGCACGGCAACGGACCCATTGAGAAACAATGCAGCCGCTGCTAAAAGAAAAAGAGATGTCATGGCGATAATGTACCAGACATGATATTCTGTCCTCCTTTGTCTCAGGATGAAAAGACCTGCCCCATATAGGACACAATGAATTCCTGGTGACGAAGACCGCGAGTAAGGAACGACATTTAGGTTCTTGAGCATACTCTGCGTACTGTAGAGAAGCCAGAGCAGGCAGAGCACCTGAGAGAAGAGGAGGCTTCGGTTCCGAAGCTTACACAAGCAAGCGAAGCGCCTCGAAACCTCGAGGCTAGCGCTTGGCTCCTTTCTCTCATGCTGATCTACTTGCCACGAGCACAAAAAGTGAGGGGTCTAGTTCTTCTGCCAGTACGATATTCGCCAATGTAGTGACGACGAAAAATCTTCCGCAAGAACTTGTATTGGTCGACGGGCCATGAGCCAGTTAACTTTCCGACGCCAACAATCTGTTCAGAGGCGTCGAGTATAGCCTCGCGATCTCTTCCGTCCCGCAGCCTTCACGTTGAGCTCGCGAGAGGTCAATCTTCAAGCTTCAAGGCAGGCTGATTATTCAGAAAGGCTTCTCTGGCCCATTACGCTACTGTTCGGAACTAACTCTCACACTTTTCTCCTATTCTTCAACAGGATACGAGCGCTCCAGGCTTTAGTTTTGGGACGTATCAGAGGGCAATGCACACGGACGATTGACGGATTTGCCCAACACGCGTTTGTTTGGGCTTCTCCAAGTTTCGATGGAGACAGCCCCAGAATCTCGCCGTTGCAGATCAGTGGCGCCATCGACTCGCCATCTCATACTGATAATTACAGTGAGAAAACATTGGAGATTATCCGAGCCTCCCAAAGTTGTTTCGAGTGAGATCATATTTAAACCATTTGACTCCTCCGTTCATTAGTAAAGAATTTCATTCTCTGGACTTTGACGATAATGAGGGAAATGTACATTTTGTGAGTGGATCGTGCTGTACTTTTCGACTCAAATGTTTACCCACATTCAACAAGTATCAGAGCCTCAAAACTCCACTCCCTATTCCCAATATTCCTCCTCTGGCACGCGTTTCCAGTTGCTACATTCGAAGTACAACCTGCTCTTCCGGCTACCGTAATCATCGGTGAGCCACTTACCCTCACCTGGCGCCGTGAGCCTTCGGACAGTGCACTCCAGCAGTTCAGACCACAACTGAACGCACCGGGATCTGCTATCGGCGGGCTAGCAAGGCCTGTTTTCGTCACGGTAGGGGAAAGCGTCGAAGGCACGTTTACTTTGGTACCCACAAGGACTGGGTGAGTCGAGAGCTTACTCTCTTTCTCTTGTCTAACGTTTGGCCATGTAATCTCGGGTATAACTTGACCCTACTTGCCCTCTCGAAATTTACCACACCTCGCATCCTTTAGACAATTTCAGCTCTTGCACGACATCATGTATACCGTCAGGTGAGCACTCGCATCTTTCTCAGAATAACTTCAGCTCACGGGTTTTGCTCGTACCTCTTACCTTTACCGCCTAGCAATTCCGAGATATCGGTATCCGAGACTGTCGATGCGCACACAGTCTTTGTGGTGGTAGAATCCAAGGGCACTGAGACCCCAGGCACAACGGGATCGGG